TGGTTAAAAGGGATGTCATGCCGCTTATCAATACAACTTGATTGATATTTTGTGCACCTTGTTTATTTAGGTGTGAATAGGGCATTGTTTCTCAGTTTTCTTAAAACGTTCTCAAAAACGTTATGAGCTATGCTCCCTACAATAACACGTGTGGAGATTTCTGACCATACACGGTGGTAAAATCTGGTCTGCAAAGTTCCCACATGTCATAGAACCCGAACTTTGTTCGATCTGGGCAATTCGAATCGAACCCGGGGTCACCTGCGGTCATTTAAAATAAATCGGCAAAACAAGCCTTTCTGCCTACATGCCTTGCAACAGATAAAATCAACATTTTTCTATAGATACAATAGGTTTCCTGGAAACTACATGTCCGCTATCATTTTTTTGTGGACATGTAACATGTAGCGAAGCTACTGTCGTATCCTTGGGTGATCTTGAATAATGTAATAATTCTTTATGCCAGTATGAATGACACAATGCAGGCTTTTGGTCGACATGACATGTCTGCAAAACTAGTTTAAACCTGCAAGCATGGAGAGTAAAACTCCGGGCACAGTTCTGGATCAAGCTGTGTCCCGTTCTGTGCCGGCTCAGGCACAAGATGAGATGGGCACGGTTTGGGACACAACAGTGTCCCAGTGATAGACAAAACCTCTAAAGATCTAGTCCGCCCCAAGATAAATTCAAGACAGGGATACCCCTCAAGACAGTGATTCCCCCCCTTTAAAACAAACGCTCGTATACCGTGCTTGTGCTATATGATTTTTCTTCAGCCCAGACAATCAACCCTTCAAATATGCATGTCGTCTTCACTTTAAAGAAAAAAAATGTAATGTTGACATTTCCTATGTTCACAAGCAGCGCTGAGGACAGAGGTAAGAACAAAGCATAAGTTTCATTCATGTGCAAAGCTCAAAAGCAAAAAGAAAAAGAAATCATGGAAAAGCAATAATCGAGCCGAGGTGCTCTGAACACTGACATGTGAAAGAGGTAATTCAAAGTACGAACGAACACAGACAAAGGACAAACCGAACTAACAACCAGCATGACTGATATAACTCGTTTAAACCTGCAAGCATGGAGAGTAAAACATACCCCATTCACGGCTCAAAATGACACGGCTCAAAAATCATGTTTTAGGGATTTTTTTTTTAAATGGCCTCAATTTTTAATTATGCGTAATTTAGTGAGAAAAATGTTTAAAAAATGCAATTTTTTCACCAATGTGTCGACAAAAACTAGACTGAAATTCAGAAAAAATTCTAAAACACGATTTTTAATCTTATTCCTAGTCGTCGAAAAATATTTAAAAAAATCGGGGATCTGGGGTAATATACGTAGCCAGGTTTAAACGATGTTTGCCTAAAAACATGACATGACTTGTGGTCGGAAACCCGAAAAAAATCGTCTTTCGGAGCGAAAGTTTGAAAAAAACAACGATTTAACATTAACAGCTAATATCAAAAGAATGTTAGGACGATAATTGCATTTTAATTTGACGAAATTTACCATGAAATCCTTTTTGCTTCTTTTCAAGTGTTTACGGGTAGTCCTAAACAGGCCAAAATAGCGTCTTGTAAACCGATACATTTTCGAACGCGCCTAGCAATGGGAAAGAATGCCGTAGTAACAGACCACCGTCATAATATTTTTTAAAGAAAAGAGCTTTGAAGATTTTTGTGCTTATATGCTACCGTAAACGGTTAACCTCTAATGGAGTTGCACAGTACTGTGGATGATAAAACGGACTAATAAATGTTGAGAACCAAGTTGTATCAATAAAGGAATGAATGAATTTGTTGCAACTTTCAATTGTAACATTGCTTCAAGTAACAGAAAGAAGTATAGAAAGGCTGATGAATGTGACAATGACACAACAGTGTCCCAGTGATAGACAAAACCTCTAAAGATCTAGTCCGCCCCAAGATAAATTCAAGACAGGGATACCCCCTCAAGACAGTGATCCTTCCTTCAAAACAAACGCTAGTATACCGTGCTCGTGCTATATGATATTTATTCAGCCCAGACAATCAACCCTTCAAATATGCATGCCGTCTTCACTTTAAAGAAAAAAATGTAATGTTGACATTTCCTATGTTCACATACAGCACTGAGGACAGAGGTAAGAACAAAACATAACTTTCATTCATGTGCAAAGCTCAAAAGCAAAAAGAAAAAGGAATCACAGAAAAGCAATAATCGCGTATTGGCCCGTGGTGCTCTGAACACTGACATGTGATAGAGGTAATTCAAAGTACGAACACAGACAAAAGACAAAACCGAACTAAGAACCAGCATGACTTATATAACCTGAATAGACCAATCTGTACCTCGTCTTTACACTTCAGATATACGTGTGGCTGACGTGTCGTTCACAGCATTCACAGGCAAGGCTGAAGACAACATCCTACATCGCACCAGCTTAGCGAGAGACTGCATGATCCAAGTAAGTTTCAGTTAAAATACTGTAACAGGTCGATTATCTGCTGATTTTGATAGTATACCTTCTCCAGTTGCGTATATGAGCAAGGACGATATGGCATACTGCAAAACACCATTAGATGCGTCAAAATCGAAGGAAAACTGTCAAAAAGTTGAAATGCCTTCCTGCGGCAAAGATGATAAGGTCGACACCTCTGCATGTTATGGGGATGACCATAACATACAAGACACAAAGACACATCCAAATCAAACATCCAAAGATAACCTGTATCTAATGAACTCGCAGTCAAACCTCCACCCACGCGAGTATAAAGCACTGAATCCACAGTTCCTGAATCCGATGTACGAACCTGCTGTTTCCTCTGCAGCTGAACTTCAGGCGGATAGTTGTGATGGCATTCTCCGCAGTCAGGGAGACGGTGGCAGTAACAATAACGCACGTTTAGCTGCAGCTGAGAGTGGACAGACAGTCGAAGTTACCGTGGGTGATGACAATATTGAACCCGACTCACCAGACGAGATTCAAGGCTAATACTTGCGATGGCATTCACGGGGAGACGGTGGCAGTAACAATAACGCACGTGCAGATGCAACTGAGAGCGGACAGACTGTCGAAGTTACCGTGGGTGATGACAATATTGAACCCGACTCACCAGACGAGATTCAGGCTAAAAACTGCGATGGCATTCACGGGGAAGGTTATAGTAACAATAACGCACGTGCAGATGCAACTGAGAGCGGACAGACTGTCGAAGTTACCGTGGGTGATGACAATATTGAACCCGACTCACCAGATGAGCTTCAGGCTGATAACTGTGATGACTTTCTCCCTTACGCCGTTTTCTACGAGGAAACTGATTGCAGTAACAACGGCGCAAGTGCAACTGCAGCTGAGAGCTGGAAGACAGTCAATAAAGACGTTGATGTTGACGACATTGAACCTTGTCAGGATGACACGCCTAGCACGAAAAACACGCAAAGGAACGCCCCGACATCTCATGAGAACGGCAACAACGTTGGCCAGCAGAAGACAACTTATGGTAAGAAAAATCTTCTACTTTGATTTCAGTAGAAAATTATTATCTTTTTATGGTATTTTCGTTTTAAGTTTCCATTTGTGAGGCTTGTTGCTTCGTGTTTGAACGCCATAAGATCCTTAACGCCGATCCCTGGGATCGGCAGCCCGGGCAAAAAATTCATTAAAAGATAAATAACAGCGTTATTATAATCATAATCAAAAACAAGATAGATATTTAGAAGAAACATGGAGCAGAAATAGAAAAAGAAACTGTAAAAAAGTGGGATTGAAAGCCAATACCCTAATGTCTTGATTGTCCTGCTATTTGTGGCATGGTTCCACTGGCCTGAAAGAACAGCTGATTTTTTCGGGCCACCGAGTGCAAGAAACCCTGTTACAAATGGTGGATGGTACACAGGCTATGTTTTCAACAAATAGAGACAAAATGCAAATATTTGCATGTTACTCCCATACCAAATTTCAGGTCATTTTGCTTTCATGGAATCAAGGTCATTCAACCTTGTCTAATCAAACAGGAACAGAAAAAATACAAATCAAAAATGCTTAAAGAAAAGTTCGTAAGATTGTTTTTTTTTATATGGGTTTATATGCATAAGCCCGAGATGTTTTTAAAAATGATGCCAGTACGAAGAGTTAAGAAACAATTTGAAACCTTCAGCGTTGAGTAGTATTTTTCGCTTTAAACTAAATGTATTCAAATTTAAAATCCATTCAATGAACAGCTAATACGTATTACACGCAGTCAGCAATAATCTGCTGATCGAACAACATAAGCCATCAGAACGAAAATATTGATTATATGTTCGAAAATGTTACGCAATGTTACGCACTGTACAAATGTATGGATGAGGGTGAGCACATCGGCAGAACGTACTGCGGTTGAGCGAAACTTGTCTTTCCAAATTTCCACGGTTTCCGTCTAATGTATAGTCAACATTGCGCCAGAGTTTTCCCCGATGCAGACGATACCTTTTGTAAGCTATTGACGGGATGTCATTCTTAGATACGCAAATACAGTATTACAGCCTTAACCCTACCTAGACCGGGGGGGGGGGGGGGCTAAAAGTGCCCGCGGCAACTTTGATGTCACCTAGCGTCTGAACGGCTAAACTTGGTGACTTGGTGACTTGACAACGGGTTTCTGAAAGGCATTTTTTGCTAAATTTAGAACTTTTTGTTTCAACAATAGAATTTTATGGGTTTTATGTCAAGTTACTCATGGTTTCTAATAATAATAACATCCCATATAAATTTATGTAAATGTTATCATTAAATATGCATAATTTATGCTAATTTAATGACGTCATTGGCCAAAATCCAAGATAGCGGACCATATCATTAGAACAGGTATATACAGGTTATTTTCATTAAAATTTCATCAATACTTCCGATTCCATTTCTTTTTCCAAAAAAGGTTTAAATGAAGGTCTTTAGTATGTTTACAATGTATTTTAGGCTTTATCATGAAAAAAAAACTATTTTTGAAAATTCAAGATTGATGATCCAAGATGGCGGATATCTTAAATGTGCATGACGTCATTTTATGACGTCACAGGTGTTGTTATGGGCAACATAAGACTTAGTACACCATAATATTCTGTCATAAACACTTTTGGTACAGTTATGTTGAATACCATTTAGTTTTCAGGGAAAAACCTATTTAGACGGTTTTGGTCAATAAAATCACATTAATGACGTCATAATGACGCCATATTACGTCATAACGACAAAAATAATTGTAGATATTATAAATTTTTACTGGTACGCCATTCTCTGAAAATTTGGTGGTAATACGACATACCGTTCGCGAGTTCTTTAGGGGGGGGTCAAAAGAAGCCCCCCCGGGTCCCCCCCCGACCT